ATCTTGAAATTTCTTAGAACATTTTGCTCGCATGTTATCACTTTGAATGTGAATTTAGGAAGCTTTGAAAAAAAATAATATTATAAATACAACCGGATTGAAAAACGTTGTCGTATAAGATGCGAAAATTGGATAGTTGGATATTCGAAGACTTGAAAAATAAGAAGGGACCAAATCCCAGCCTTCTCGACCCAATTCCCTAGATTCTATAATAATGTAAGGGGCGCTGTTTGGCATCCTTTAATTTTTAATTTAATTTTTTTTTCTTAAAAATGAAAATAAGATACAGAAATTGATGTTAGTTTTTTTTTCTCCAATAGAATAAAAAATTAGTTTTTCACACTACCAGCTTATTATTTAGAAGTCGGGTTTGGTTCCGCACTTCAGAAAATGGGTGTGAATCATGGCTAAGCTAGACCCGATATGCACTGGGTTCGAGTCTGGTTCGAGGCACCAACGATTTGGGATGTTTGACGATCTAGATGGGATGGGGTAGGATGCTGAAGAGTCATTTCAAGTATCTAGGTTTAAAACTTCTAAAAAATAGGTCGAGTTTTCTTTGCTTCTTCTCGGTAGAAATATCTGTGTTCAGATTTTAGCTTTCATATCATTTTTTGTACTCCCAGCTTTCAATGTCTTGTTACTCGTTTTTGGAGAGGCAAGAAAACTAAAAATTTAGAACAAAAGAAAAGAGAAAAGAAAAAATACAAAAAAAAATAAAAAAAAATATTGGAAGAAAATAAAAAAAAAAAACTACCAAATTTAACAGTTTTGCAAACGAATAGTTTTGTCAGTATTTATATTAGCAATCCATTTGGTACGTATGTTACTTATGGAATCAAGGATGAAAATAGTCCGTTAGAAAAACACTTGTCAGTAATCTACGAACTGTCAATGAATCTATCGGTAAATATAACATATCATTAAAAGAATAATATCTGTAATTTCATCGGTGTATTAACAACATGAATGATATTTGCAGTAATTGTTTTCCAACACTTTAGAATATACCAATAGAATAATTATATCGATAACCCATCAGTCATGGTGGCATTTGTAGTTATTTGTTTTCAACTCTCTGAAATATATCAACATTGTAGTTCCATTGATAAGCTTGCCAATAATATTTTAAAAATATTTTTCTAAAAAAATATTTTAAATATAAGTAGAAAAATAATTAAAATAAATTAGTATAAAAATCAAATATTTATGAAAAATTTAAACATTTATACGCTCAAATATAATAAATCTAAAATAGAGGTGGTGTTGGGAGAGGAGGCTGGTCGTCGCTGAGACTTGGGACAATTAGGGGGTGCACATAAACCGTCCATTTATGACCTCATCTCCATTAGCAATCTATGGAGTTCTTCACAATCAATAGAGAGTCATTCATATTTATCATTAAGATGAGTAATTTGATCTTGTACTTGTTTGTCTAACACCATTATGAACTCCAAAGTGTGAACGCTCGAAGTCAATTGTGAGCATGTTGGGATATTGCCACTTATATGGCAGCATATGCAACTTCCTCTAGAAGAGGGTTATTAGTGGCAACTGCAAATGTTAAAGAAGCTGCACTAACTATTGACAAATGCATCAACCCATACCAAATGTCAACTTTAGTAGCTACTATTATTGAAGATGAGCTGGAGCTGATGGCTCCATTCTTGCCTATAAATAAGTATTAAGAGAGTAGTACAAGGTGAGAGATGGTATAGAGCTAAAAATATGAGAAATATAGGAGAGAGTGAGCTATCAAGGACAGTAAGCAGTGGTTGCCATTGCAACATTACAAAGAGAGAAAAGAGTGAGGTTGAGAGTTGCAAAAAGTGGATAATTCCTCCTTTATTGTTGTAAATCTTGTTTTCTCCTTATATAATCAAATGGCCTTTCCCGTGGATGTAGGTGATTTGCCGAACCATATTAAATATTATGTTAGTGTACTTAACCTTCAATGAGCAACTGTTAGAACATCACCAGTCGAAATTCCCAACAATTATTATAAGAGCAATTGGTTTAAAGTGGTGTTTGATCTTTGTTTAAAAATAAAAGTTGTTAAAATTGTGTTTTGACCATAACACTATAAAGAGAAGGAAGAGGCGATCACAATGGTGAAAACAACGTCAAAATCATACGTCAGACATGGCCATATGCACCATCATGCGTTGGCAAAGTGGTTACCCCGCGCATTGATGCGCCCCACACATGCCATGCATCTTTTTTGCTTGGATGGGCTGACCTGACCAGAATACTAGACAACCCAATCCATATGATTGATCTGGATGGAGGATGATGTCATCAAGATGTAAGCATGATGTTAGCATACACAGTTGACATGCCATGTCAGCACTATAAGACTTATTTGTCACATCATCAGCTGCAAGTGGAGCTAAGTTGAGCTGAGCTGAGTGGAGCCAAGCCAAGTTGAAGCTAAGCCATGAGCAGAAGGATAGGATCCAGTGTAGTGGATTCTACATGCAATTGGATCTAAGATTGAATCTAGACCGCTCATCAAGTTAGAATTATTGTGATCAAATCTTAGTTATCTGAAATGTGATTTGAATGATTTCAGACTTGTTTCCAGCTAATTTGATCATTCTGAATACAATGAAATGGTCCAATCATTGACATTTGAATTGAAAGTGGTGGTGGTGAATTAACAAAAGAGATTGCCCAATTATAAGGCATTTGAAGGTTATCATGATGGCCGATGGAGATGAAGAAGAAAAAATCGCACATATTTGCCCAATTACATGTGCTGAACTACTAAGTGTGAAATTTTATTTGCCTTGAGGGAAGGAAAAATTAGGATACTCTAGACACCCAATCATGTGGATAGTTAGAGGTGTAAAGTGGAAATTTGATGAAGATCAATCTTGATGAATTTAAGCATTGGTAGTCTCTCCAAATGTTAAGAAATCAGGTATAAAACCAAGATATTTTAGATCACTTGTAAAGGAAAGCCGTAACAAAGCTAGCAAATGGTTGTATATACAGTACAATGGATAGATATAACCTAAGAAGTTCTGGCTAGGAGATTGAGTTTTAAATGAGACTGTTATGACCCTTCCAATCTTTTCTGGGAATTTGCTTAGCTGAAGCATTATCTATACAATATTATTTTCTTATATGTAACAGTTTGTAATGAAACTAGTGAAGACTAGCAAAATAACGACACAGGAAAATAGTTGGGTTCCATATATTCAAGGATCTGATAGAGTGATGATTTCTTAAAAGAAGTTAGATTCGGTGACTATAATTTCTCGAGGAAAGAATTGATGAAAAACCTGATAATAGAAGAGAAATACTACAATGGGATAAAGATTGACACCCTATTTTTGACTTGGACAGGTATTGTGACATAATGAGCTGATATCAACCATAAGCAAGGAATATGGAGAATCTAGAGAACAAAAATTACACAAGGGCACACGAAGATTATGCAGGAGTACCCGTAGGATCCAACGAGGTACTGTAATGAGACAATAAGTGCAAGGAGAATAAGAATTCCCAAATAACACTTAGAGCAGAGATTACATGAAGGATGTACAACATGAAGTCTTTTGTGCTTTTGATAAAGATAATATGTGAAGACCTTTCCAATACATGCAATGATGAAAAGATGAGCTGTTGTAGAGGCACCTAATTAAAGGGGCGCAAACACCTGTGATAAAAGGCGATTGCCTATGATACAAGGCGAAGACACCAAAAAGAGTTGGTGTAGGTGGAGCTGTCAAGAAGAAAGGTGTAGAAGCTCCAAACATATCAAATAAGATGTAAGATTGCGATGAGGGTACTATAACTTTCTCTTTCTATGTGATTAGTGGTAGTAATCTCTCCCTTGTCCATATGGTGACATATAATCTTTGAGCCACTTTGAAGCATCCCAACCGAAGGAGGATGCAATCACTTATGAAAGATAAAAGAACTTTAGAGAGAAGGTGTGCGAGCCATAATATGAGCCCAGGTTCAAACCGCCCCATGACAACGAGTGAAGACACCTTATAAAAGAAGTGAGGGCCACGATATGAGCCTAAATACAACCCCAAAGCCGATATGATAACTAGATATGAGTGGACAGGTATATAGCCAATGAAGTGAATGCTGAATTGACTTTGATGGATATTTCCCCATGCTAAAGATCAATAAGCTAGAAGACATTTGCCTTCGACAATAAGTGAATGAATTATAGAGCATTAAGACTGACTGCTATGTAGGAGCAGAGGGCATGCACAGGTTCCTAGAATAAATTGACTCTTGTTAAGGTGGTGAGCACGGTAATGACATTGTAATACTTAGAGTATGGAGATATATATGGATCAACCTTTGATGGTTTGCCTCCATGGTTAAAGGTGGAGAGCTACCTGGACTCTTAGGACTAAGAGCGAGAGAATCACGAAGAAGTAAGGTATGGTTTCTAGGTTGGAACAAAGGGCAGATGCAACTCTTAGATGAATAGATTTTTGGCAAAGTTATGAGTTCGTGATCATATCGAAATACTTAATGATTGTCGCACTTAGGAATATCCGTTTGAGGGGGTGTTGTAAGCTTTGGTTTGAGGCTTGAAAAAATCATTTCGGACCGAGCATGGTTGATATGCTTAAAAGGGAATGTTGTGTTCCAAAAACAAGCACTAACATTTTTTAGATATGATGTGGGAGACCATCTGGTAGAAGTGATCCTTTGGTATAAGCAAGGGTGTGTTTTGGTGACTTTGGCGATTGAAAGGTTTGGTAAGTACCTATAAACTTGGTTGAAAATGCTCTTAGAATAGTAAGCTTGGAAGAGCTACAAGATACAAGCTTTTATTGAAGAAACAAGAGGAAAATTACCCCATATAAATGACAAATGGGGTGATTGTTGGGATATTACCACTTATGTGGCAGCATCTGCAACCTCCTCTAGAAGAGGGTTGTTGGTAGCAGCTGTAAATGTCAAAAGAAGCTGCACCAACTATTGACAAATGCATCAACCCATACCAAATGTCAACTTTGGCAGCCATCATTATTGAAGATAAGCTGGAGCTGGTGGCTCCATTCTTGCTTATAAATAGGCACCAAGAGAGCAGCACAAGGTGAGAGATGGTGTAGAGCTTAAAATGTGAGAAATATAGAAGAAAGTGAGCTGTCAAGGGCAGCAAACAGTGGCTATCATTGCAGCACTATAAAGAGAGAAAAGAGTAAGGTTGAGAGTTGTAAAGAATGGATAATTCCTCCTCTATTGTTGTAAATCTTGTTCTCTCCCTAAATAATCAAATGGCCTCTCCCGTGGATGTAGGCAATTTACCGAACCATGTTAAATATTGTGTTAATGTACTTAGCCTCCAATGAGCAGTTATCAGAACATCACCAATCAGAATCCCCAACAGAGCATCCAATTGTCGAAGCACTACGGGTCAATCACAAGTTATTGGTCATAGTATTAGAGAGTCCATACACTTGATTTTTATTAGGCCCATCAAATAATTCTACCTCCAACCACAAATCCAAATCGATATCCGAATGGGTTGAAGGATCGTTACATATATCATACCATCTGTATCTCTCCTTTAACTAGTTATTATATATATCCTGGAAAGAAAAAACAAATTCATGAAATTCAAGGAAATAATAACTTAAGAAAAAAAATAACTAAAAACCAACATACCACAAAGTGTTAAGCTTGGCTATCAATGAACTACTGCATCATTTTTTGGCGGTCATCACTCTACACATGAGTTTTAACAAAAAGCTTTATTGGGCTTGGCTCACATCCACGAACCATTGCCAGCAATAAAAATGTTGTCTATTAAATATATTTATAAAAAAAACTACTAATAATAAAAAAATATATGTAATAAAAAAATCATACCATTCGCTTTACATGTGAAAGAAACAAAATGGAGCTACCGGTATATGTGGTAATGGAACCATGAACACCTTGATTTTGCTTATTTGAACCAGACTGTGATTATCAAGCAAAACGCGTGGATGTCACATGCTGAATGTATTCCGCTGATACAACCTCTGAGACATACGACAACCTGAAATCCTTTATAATGGCCACATCATTCCAACATGGAAGCTCTCTTTCTTTTGTAAATGTTTTGGTTTTTTAAACCTCATATCAAAAATCACACAACCTATATGGTACAAATTAATTATCTGTTAATAAATAAAAAATAAAATCTTAATATAAATAAAAACAATTATCCTAAATTTGATCTTACCTAATTGTAATATGATTCTCCTAAACCCTTTTCGCAACATTATCATCAACTCTCACTCATTCAAATTTGTATTTGAAGTAAAAATTTATAAAAGAAAATTTTCAATAATTTCAATAAACTATCCAAATTAACATAAAAAAATATTTAAGTTAATACTAACCTTGAACCTTGAAAACCATGCATCAACATGCAGTTGCCATTCAAGATGTTTGAAAACCTAGCTTTATTGAAATAATTAATTTTTTCTCAATGATTTAAAGGCTGATGCTATTATTCTAGTAGCCTCAATGTTTATAAATTTAAAATTGCATTCGTTAAATGATTTTTTTTTAAAATCATTAAACATGTCATTGTGAAAGCAAAACAAACTTACATTGAAAGGTTGTCCTTCTCTTAGACCTTGTACTTGCAGGTAATGGATCTCGCTGTGAAGAGAGCTCCCATCGATGTTGTGGCATCACACTCAATAAGCTAGCATCGTAATTAAATGTTTGTGCCTCAGGTGCTTGTTCTTGGTTAACACCTAATGACTCATGGTCGTCAGCATTGCTCCTAGAAGAACTAGTAGTAATGTCACGACCCGAATCCCGGGTCCATAACCGGCAACGCAGGAGGAGTGTCGAAAGGACACCCCACCTACGCTAAGCCTCAAAACATACATATCAAAATAATAGATATTCAAAAATACGCAGCATTTCATAATCTTCAGAAATATTATATTACTCAAAGCTGATGAAATCAAA